CCGGAGGGTCTCTTGAGACCAGGAGTTCAAGTCCACAGGGAGCTGTGGTCATACTATTGCACTTCAGCCACTATGACAGAGTGAAATGCTATCTCGAATAAAAATATTTTTAAAATAACCTTTTATTTATTAATATATTAGAAAAACCACGTGAAAGGCACTCCCCTACTTTTGTTCTCCTACAACAGCCTTCCTACAAGCTCCTACAAGAATGGGTTTAGTTATTATCTTTTGGACTATTATCTTGGATTTTTCTATTTATGTTCTTGAAAGAGATTTCCTAGTGGCTTTCTTGTCTGGTTTTAGTATTAAAGTTGTTGGCCTCATAGAATGATTTTAGGAGTAGTCCTTGTTTGTATTCTTGAAGAATTTATAATTTATATAAGAATTATCTGTTACTTGAAAGTTTATTAGAACTTGCCCATCTAGGCCTGGTTTTTCCTTTGTGGAAAGATGTAACTACAGATCCAGTTTCTCTATAGCATTCTATCAAATCTCTATTTCTCCTTAAGTTAGTTTTAGAAAGTTATATATTCCAAGAATGGGTATGCTTTGCATAAATTATTCAAGTGATTATTATTAAAGTTGTTTATAGTCTTCTGTTATATTTTTAATCCTAGTTGTGTCTGTATCCATTCACCTCTTTTTCATTTGTAATATTACTTATATTTTTAAAAATTAGTCTTGTAAAAAAAAAAATTAGTCTTCCCAAAGGGTTATCTATTTTCTTAATCTGTTTCAAAGAAATAATCTGTGACTGTTAATCCCATCTATTGTGTCTTTTACCTTTGCATGTCAATAATTTCTGCTTTTATCTTTATTGACGTCTGCTATTTTCTTTGAACTTATACATCTTTAGTACTGGTTTTGCTGTATTCAAGTTTGTTACGTTATAATTTCAGTATTAGGGTTAAGTATTTTAAAATTCCATTATACTGGGAGGCTGAGGCTGGTAGATTGCTTGAACTCAGGAGTTCAAGACCAGCCTGAGCAAGAGTAAGACCCCCATCTCTAATAATAGTGGGCATCGTGGTGGGTATCTCTAGGTCCAGCTACTTGGGAGGCTGAGGCAAGAGGATTGATCACTTGAATCTAGGAGTTTGAGGTTGCTGCAAGCCATGATACCATGGTACTCTACTGAGGGCAGCAAAGTACGACTCTGTCTCAAAAAACAAAATAAAATTCCATTATAATTTCTCTTTTCACCCAGAAGTTCCTTAGAAATGTGGATTTAATTTTTTTTTAATTCCAAGTGTATGAGGATCTTTAACTTATATTTTTCACTTCTAACTTAATTACATTATTTATGACCAGAGAAAGTAATCCATCCTTGATATGGAGTCTTTGAAATTTGTTGACAGATACATTATAGCTTAAGTACCTGGTTTTTATGAAATGTTTTGTGGGTTTGAAAATGTTTATTCTGTAATTGTTGATAGGTGAAGTTTTTCCATATGTCAATTAAATAAAACATGTCAATTTTGTTTTTCAATTTTTCTCTCTTTCCTAATATTTTATCTCTCTAGTAATAACTAATACAGAGGAATATATTGAAATTAGCCACTATTATGATTGCAGATTTGTTAGTTTCTTCATATAGGCCTATATATTATTTTGCTTTATATATCTTAAGGTACTTTATTAATTTCATGTATGTTTAAAATTCTTATATTTTTCTGGTGAATTGAAAGTGTTTTCATTCTTTTAACAAGTCTCTTTACACATAATATTTTCTTTTGTCTTGCATTCTGTTTTGTCTGGCGTAAGTATTGCCACTCCAGTTTTCTTTATGTGTTTGCTTGGTACATCTTTTACTACCCTTTCGGATGGGTCTCTTGTAAATAGCTGGATTTTCCTTTCAGTCTGACAGTCTCTGTATTTTAACTTTCATGTTTAGTTCATTTATATGTATCATGGTTATTGATGTATTTGGACTTCTTTCTGCCATCTTAATTTTTATTTCTTTTTATCCCATTTCATATGCTTGCTTTTACTTCTTAACAATTTTTAATTCATTGAAAAATATTTTAAACTTCTTTCATTCTATTTTTTTTCACTTACTGATTTGAAATTTATACTCTCTATTTTGGTTTTAATCATAGCCATCCTTTAAATTTTACCAGGTATATTTAAGTTAGTAAAGTCTAAAGATTAAATAGTAACTCAACTCTGTTGCTGAAAAATAAAAAAAAACCTTAGAATGTGTTTAGCTACAGTCATCCCATCCAAGCTTATGTACTTTGTTTTACGGTACACTTTACATCCAAGCTTATATACTTTGTTTTTGGTTTCGTCCTTTTTTTGCCCCCAAATTATAATAATTAGCATTATAACCATTATTCTATTTAGACAAATTTAAATTTGCTTACCCTGCTTACCATCCCTTCTTCCTCTTTGTGCCATGCCTCTGAGATCATTTTTCTTCTTTCTTTTTTTTTAATTTTTATTTTTTTATTAAATCATAGCTGTGTACGTTAATGCAATTATAGGGTACCATGTGCTGGTTTTATATACAATTTGAATTTAACAAAGCCTTCACCTCATTTTCTTAGTTATTGTGTTAAGATTTATATTCTACACTTAGTAGATTTAACATGTACCCTTGTAAAATGCACCATAGGTGTGGTCCCACCAAATGCCTTCCTTCAACCCATCCTCCCTCTTCCTCTCCCCTCCCCCTCCTCTTTCCCCTTCATCTTGGTCTGTAGTTGGGTTATAGCTTTCATATGAAAGTGTGGGTGTTTATAAATTGGTTTCATAGTAGGGCTGAGTACATTAGATACTTTTTCTTCTATTCTTGAGATACTTTGCTAAGAATAATATGTTCCAGCTCCATCCATGTAAACATAAAGGTAAAGATGGAGGTAGGTAAAGTCTCCATCTTTTCTTAAGGCTGCATAATATTCCGTGGTCTACATATACCATAATTTAGTAATATATTCGTGGGTCTATGGGCACTTGGACTTCTTCCATGACTTAGCAATTATGAATTGGGCTGCAGTAAACATTCTGGTGCAAATATCTTTGTTATTAAGTGATTTTTGGTCTTCTAGATATATACCTAGTAGAGGAATTGCAGAATCTAATGGCAGGTCTATTTTTAGATCCCTAAGTGATCTCCAAACTTCTTTCCAAATGGAACGTATTAGTTAGCATTCCCACCAGCAGTGCAGAAGTGTTCCCTTTTCTCCACATCCACGCCAACATCTATGGTTATGCGATTTTGTGATGTGGGCTAATCTTACTGGAGTTAAATGATATCTCAATAGGGTTTTGATTTGTATTTCTCTAACGATTAAGGATGATGATCATTTTTTCATGTGTCTGTAGGCCATGCACCTGTCTTCTTCAGAGTCAATTCTATTCAAGTCCCTTGCTCACCCTGAGATGAGATCACTTGTTCTTTTCTTATTAATAAGTTTGAGTTCTCTGTGGATCCTGGTTATTAAACCTTTGTTGGAGATATAACCTGCAAATATCTTCTCCCATTCTGAGGGCTGTCTGCTTGCTTTACTTACTGTGTTCTTGGCTATGCAGAAGCTTTTTAGTTTGATCAGATTCTAGCGATGTATTTTTGGTGTTGCTTCAATTGCCCCGGGGGGTCTTCCTCATAAAATATTCTCCCAGGCCAATTTCTTCAAGAGTTTTCCCTGCATTTTATTCAAGTATTTTTGTAGTTTCATGTCTTAAGTTTAAATCTTTTATCTAGTCTGAGTCTAGACTTGTTAGTGGTGAAAGGTTTGGGTCCAGTTTAAGTCTTCTACAGGTCGCCAGCCAGTTCACCCAGCACTATTTGTTAAATAGGGAGTCTTTTTCCTATTGTTCCCTAAGCCCTGAATGTTTTAGACTGGCTTATCAAAGAGAAAATGACGGTAAGTAGCAGGGTTCATCTCTTGGTTCTCAGTTCTGTTCCATACATCTACCTCTCTGTTTTTGTGCCAGTACCATGCTGTTTTGATCACCATTGATTTATAGTATAATCTGAGGTCTGATAGTGTGATTCCTCCTGATTTGTTCTTATTTCTGAGTAATGTATAGTTTGAAGTCTGGTAGCGTGATTCTTCCTGATTTGCTTTTATTTCTGAGTAATGTCTTGGCTATTTGAGGTTTTTTCTGATTTCATCTAAAATGAAGCGTTATTTTTTCAAGGTCTTTAAAGTATGACAGTGGTGCTTTAATAGGGATTGCATCAAAATTGTATATTGCTTTGGGTAGTATGGACATTTTAACAATGTTGATTCTTCCCAGCCATGAGCATGGTATGTTTTTCCATTTTTTTTTTTTTTTTTTTTTTTGCAGTTTTTGGCCGGAGCTGGGTTTTAACCAGCCACCTCTGGCACATGGAGCCAGAGACCCACTCCTTTGAGCCATAGGCACTGCCCTGTTTTTCCATTTGTTAACATCTTCAGCTATTTCTTTTCTCAGAGTTTCATAGTTCTCTTTATAGAGATCTTTCACGTCCTTTGTTAAGTAAACTCCCAAACATTTCATCTTCTTTGGCACTACTGTAAAAGGAATAGAGTCCTTGACTGTTTTTTCAGCTTGACTATTATTGGTATATATAAAGGCTACAGATTTGTGAGTATTGATTTTTTAACCTGAGGTGCTACTGTATTCCTTGATCACTTCTAAGAGTTTTGTAGTTGAATCCCTGGGATTTTTCAGGTATACAATCATATCATCTACGAAGAGTGAAAGTTTGATCTCCTCTTACCCTATATGGATATGCTTGATCGTTCTTGCCTGATTGCAATGGCTAAGACTCCCATTACAATGTTAAAAAGCAATGGAGACAGTGGACAGCCTTGCCTGGTTCCTGATCTGAGTGGAAATGATTTCAATTTAACTTGTCTGGAGTGAGTAAGCATTTAATAAATGCTTGCTGTTAATATCTATGAAATACGGATATTGAGACTATTTGCATTTGAAATAAATCAGTATATAAACACAGTTTTTGTATTGGAGTAATTGTGCAGTATCTGCTTTTTTTTCCTTTTCAGTTGCCTTCAAATACATCAGAAATATGTTGTATTATTAGAGCATCACCAGGAACTAGACCAGTGAAAAGTAAAGGTGTTACTGTAAAGAAGAAGAAATATTCTCCTCCTAAAGATACTCCTCAAGGTACCACAATATGAATACAGAACATACTTTTCAGATGATATAAAATATTTTTCCATGGCAAATTTCTTATATATAAAGGATATTCATTTATAAATTATAGTCTGAGTATTCTTACACAAAGTAGAAATGGTAAGAATGTAAAAGTCTGGTCTGGTTTCAGAATCCAAGTAAAATAATTGTTTTAAAGACAAAAACTAATTTCTAAAAATTACCTTATAACATTGATTTGATATGTATGTGTGTATCTAGGGTACTTCCTCTTATTTGAACTTTAGTGTTATTTGACTTTCATTTTTAGTAGCATTATTTTTAAAACTATGGAGATGATTTTGCATTCATATAACATTGATTGAACACTTCCTCTGTGAAAAATACCACGATAAGAACCTTATTATATTTCATTTATTTCTCACTATGACTTTATGGCAGAAAGGATGTGTAATATTATCCCCATTTTACATGCTAAGACTCTCGAAGCTTAAAGTAGTATGGAGTTTTTCAAAGATCATACCACTTGAAGATGTGGAGAGAAATTCAATCTGTCAAGCTTTCTAAACTATAAGTTAATTTTTTTGTTTTTGTATTGTTTTCATAGCATTTCAGGAAGAATGTGTAATTACTCAGTGGAATTTTGGAACATGTTATAAGTAAATAGCCAATGAAACAATTGAAATTTAATGGATGATGTGTAACTTCAGTTCAACCAAGCAGTCCATTCTTGACCCTTGTTGTTTCCTACATAGTGCCTACCCTGAGCATTCTTTAAGTCAACAGAGATCTCTGTTTATTAATAAGTTTCTTGAATACTACTCATTGGACATTATATTGGTTAGGGTTCTTCAGAGAAACAGAACCAATAGGATATAGATAGATAAATAGAGATATATTAGAGGAGATTTATTATAGGAATTGTTTCAGTTGGTTAGGGGGACTGAAAACTTCCATGACATGCCATCAGCAAGCTAGAGAACAGGGAAGCCAGTGGCATAGCTAAGTCTGAGTCTGAGATCCTGGGGACCTGCTGGCACAAGTCTCAGAGTCCTGTTTAAGGGCAGGAGAAGGTGGGGTCCCAGCTCCATAAGAATAAATAAGAAATAAAGAAATATAAGAATAAATTTGCCTTTCTTCTGCCTGTTTGTTCTATGAGCCCTCAACCAATTGGATGGTGAGGGCCTGTCCATTTTGGGTGAGGGCAGATCTTCCTTATTCAGTCCACTCATTCAAATGCCAGTATCTTCTAGAAACATTGTCACAGACACAGACATACCTAGAAATGATGTTTTCCCAGGTTTCTGGGTATCCTTTAACCCAGTCAAATTGACATCAAAAATTAAGCATTACGATAATATACTGCCACTGTATCTAATTTATAATATTAACTTTTTGTATTCCTTAAATTATGAATTTTTCAAGGACAAAGACCACATAATGGGCTTTGTTCTACCATTAATTTTGTTAACATTGGTATGGCAGTAGAAAATTGTAGATGCCTATATCAAGAAAAAAAAGAGACGAATACATGTACCAACGTGTATACATATATAAATATTTGTATACACATATGTGTACATAGTAAGAGATTTATTTCAAGGAATTGACTTAACAATTGTGGGGTCTAGTTGGGCAAATTTGAAAACTATATGCCAGGCTAGGATGTTGGAAACTCTTGGGTAGGAGCTAATGATTCAGTCCACAGGAAGATTTCTTTTTCTTTACAGAAACATCAGTTTTGCTCTTAAGACCTTTCATCTGATGAGATGAGTCCTACCCATATTATCAAGGATAATTTCTTTTATTTAAAGTCAAAAATTGGGGTAGTACCTGTGGCTCAAAAGGTAGGGTGCTGGTCCTATATGCCAGAGGTGGTGGGTTCAAACCCAGCCCTGGCCAAACACTGCAGAATAATAATAATAATAATAATAACAACAACAAAGTCAAAAATTATAGATGTTGATATATAATTGACTATCTGGTCATTTCTCCTTCAACAAAGCAAACAACCAGGTGCATATTTAGAGTTCTGCCCTTTGGGAAGATTTCTTTCACCTATCTCCTTCAGGAATGTTCCAGGATAGAGATGTAAGTGCTCTAACTGTCCACTTTCAAGTGGTGCTTGTATATCATGGAGAATCATTTGTAAACCAACTCTGAACTTCCTCTTCCTCAGTCAGCTGATTGTAGAGAACTCTTCATGTCATCATAAGTGCAGGAAGGGAGAAAAAAGATAATGTAGCAAGAGTTGGGGCCATAGTTACTTAGGTCACACTTCCTCAGTTACTTGTAGCTTCAGGACTGCTTGAACCCAATCTTGTATCCACCACTTCAATTTGATAATGGAGTGCTCCTCTTCATACCAACTTGGTGGCTCAGACAACACACAGTTTATAATGGGCTTCTCAGGTTGTGTGGTGATGTAGTGGCCCATGGTTAAGTGTAGTTTCTACTAAAGCCCAGTAATAGGTCAAAAGCTATTTCTCAAAAAGAGTAGTTACCCTAAGAGGATGGCAGAGTTTTGCTCCAAAATCTTAAGGTTTTGTGATTCACCTACAGGGCCCGTGAAAGGCTCAAAACAACATCTCTGTCTGCTACAAGCACCATTGGATCCAATAGATCTAGAAGGTACAAGTATCAGAGCATCTTGCACAGAAGGCTGGACTTGTTGCAGAGCTTTCTTTTGTTATGGTCCTTCCTTCAAATCCAGTAGCTTTGTAGGTCATTTAGTAAATGGGATGAAGTACCAGCACACAAATGAGGAATATTTTGATTTCCAAGTCCAAAAAGGCCCACTAGGCATTGTGACTCCTTTTTGATTGTAGGGGGGACCAGATACAACAAATTATCCTTCACCTTAGTAGGGATGTCTCTCATACCACTGGAATTGTAGAAACTTCACAGACTCCTGGATACCCAGCAATTCCACTCCTAGGAATATACTTAATTGGAATGAGTATATGTTTGATATATATATATATGTGTGTGTGTGTGTGTGTATACACACATATACATATTAGAATATTTTAAAACAGCACTGTTCATGATAGCCCCAAATTGGAAACTATCCAATGTTCATCAAGTAAAATTGATACACTATGGTATATTCATTCATTGGAGGGCTATTTGGCAGTGAGAATCAATGCTAAACAGTTACATCCACCTGTTAAGTTTACATAGTTATGTACATATTGATGAATTTAACATAAGGTACCAAACACAGTAGAGTACACTTAATATTATTTATATGTAGTACAAAACAGGCAAAACTAAACTGTAATGGAAATCACTGCAATGGATGCCCTCATTGGAGTTGGGGATATTAACTGGAGTGGGTTATGAGGGGGAATTCTAAGGTGCTGTTACCATTCTGTTTCATTATCTTGGTATTGGTTACATGGGTGTATTATGTTTGTTAAAACCCATCAAAAACATATATACTTTTATTTGTGTTTATTTCAATTAAAAAATAAGGCTCGGCACCTGTGGCTCAAGTGGCTAAGGTACCAGCCACATACACCTAAGGTGGCAGGTACGAATCCAACCCGGGCCCGCCAAACAACAATAATGGCTGCAACCAAAAAATAGCCAGGTGTTGTAGCGGGCACCTGTGGTCCCAGCTACTTGGGAGGCGGAGGCAGGAGACTCGCTTGAGCCCAGGAGTTGGAGGTTGCTGTGAGCTATGATGCCATGGCATTCTACCCAGGGGGACAGCTTGAGGCTCTGTCTCAAAAAAAAATAATAATAATAATTTGGTGTGTTGTCCTGTCATCTTAGTTTATGATATCAGATATTGTCAAAATTCTGTATTTAAGTCTGCAACAAATTTAAACAAAAATGTGTCTGGGAAGTTCTTTTGAATGTTCGTACCAAAGTTTTTAGTGTTTAGTTTAATTCTCAGAACCCGTGCTCCCCTTAATGTTTAACTAATGGTTGAACTAATGGTGCCACCTCCTGGCCTTTTTCTGGGCTCTCACAGTAACAGCAGCCTTTTCATTTAATCCCCTTTCAACTTCTGGCCACTTCTCTTTTTCCTTTAGTAAAAATAGCAAAGCTCAAAGCTAACTAGTGACCATGTTATTTTAAACATGCAGCATCCTATTTTTAGTCCTGACATTTAAAGTTTTAGCTAGTTTGGCAGTAATCTAATCAGGACTACAGGCTGAGGCTCACTTTTGATCATCTAGGACTATGTTCAGTATGCTGCTTGTTCATTAATAACAGGTGTTGTGCTAATTAAAGCGGAAAAGTGTGAACCAAAGAGATGTGATGGAGGTGGTGGTGTGGGTAAATAGTTTGAGGATAGTGACAGCCTGATAGAGGAAGCTTTAGAGCAGTGGTTCTCAACCTGCCTAAAGATTGTGGCCCTTTAATACAGTTCTTACGGGTCGTGACCCACGGGTTGAGAACTGCTGCTTTAGAAACATCTAGTTCAAGGTTTCTCAATGTGTGGTCCTCTGACCACCTACACTAGAATAACTGCAGACCTAGTAGTAAACTACAACTTCTAGAGATATGGCATAGGAATCTGCAATTTGGTGAACTCTCAAGGTGATTCTAAGAAGCACCAACATTTGAGAACCATATCATTAGTCTGTTTTGTTCATTTTACTGATAAAAATGATCTGGCCAGATTAAGTGATTTGCCCAAGTTCGCATAGCCTATTACAGAATCAAAACTAGGATAAGGCATTATAGGAACCCAGGAGAAGACACTTTTAACTTTGCTTTGAGGTGTCAGGAAAGATTTCTAATCTAATGATGTTTTCTGGAAAGTCAAACAAAACTTATAGCTATCCTTATAGTAATATTTTAAAATTTCTATTTTATTTTGAGTTCCAGAAGAAATATGTGTTATAAATTCATATACCAAGCTAATAGTAGAATAACAGCCTTTAATTTTATATATATGTTTTCTTTAGTGAGAAATTTGAATTTGTAGATTATACTTACAGACAGAAATATCACACTAATATATGACAAATGAGGTAGAAACAGATCCATTCAAGTATCTGAGAGATGGTAGTAGAAATCATGTACATTCAAATTGTAACTCTTTGCTTATTTGTCACATAAGCAAATTCCTTAAAATGGCTGAATTTTAGTTTCCCATCTGTAAAATTGGTAAGTAGTAGTTCTTACTATCTTAGAAGTTCAACAATCAAAGAATTGTGAGGATTAGAGATAATCTATGTAAAGCATCTGACATATTAGTCACTCATTATATAACATTTATTTGCTAGGTTAGGTTAATTCCTCAAGTCTAACATATTTCCCTATTGAAAATTATCTCCTGGTTTTTATTAAATTGCAAAAAGTCTAAAATATGTTGAGTGGTTATTGTATTGATGCTAAATTTGGTTATGTCATCTCATGTAAAGAATATATTAGGTAAATATAGTCTTTGACACAGACACATTTTTTTTGGAGACAGAGTCTCACTTTATTGTCCTCAGTAGAGTGCTATGGCATCACAACTCACAGCAACCTCCAACTCTTGGGCTTAAGCTATTCGCTGGCCTCAGCCTCCTGAGCAGCTGGGACTACAGGCACCCATCACAACACCTGGCTACTTTTTGTTGCAGTTTGGCCAGGGCCGGGTTCAGACCCACCACCCTCAGTATATGGGACCAGCACCCTACCCACTGAGCCAGAG